CCAACCCGACTGAGGGGTCGTGGCGATCGTGCTCACCCCTGCTACCTCGCCGCATGCTAGAAAGCTATTCCCATTTATGTCGTCGAAGAAACTCGCAGTATACAGATAAGTCACACAGTGTGGACGTGCTGGATCATTGCCACTTTTCCTTTGATTTAGTTGATGGGATTTAGGAAAATAACTAGGAGTAGACTTACCAGAAGAGTGTCTGAGCGTCAGACTTAGTTGAGGACGAATGCATTGTTTCTACGCAGGTCGTTGGGATTCTGCAATCACGACGATTCTCCGCGCCACAACATCCCACAGCAGATACCCACTGCATCGAAAAGCAATATTCTCCATGACCACAAGTAATCGCAGGCGCTATTAAGAGTTAAGAGAATTCGCGCAATCATGGTAAGCATTACGTGAATTTATCACCTACCACTAGAGTTCCCAACTGGAAAGCCGCACGTTGAAGCAGAAGAGGACGAAGGGGAAGTAGTGGTGGTTCGTTGCCGTCGCCGAAGGTCAATGTCGAGGAACTCGGCCTCCGGCGCCGCGGTCGGTTTCGGTGCCCATCTTATAGGATCTATTTCAGCGAGGCCAGGTGTCTCCTTCGCCGGACCCCAATTTCCTGCATCGCGTCCGGGCCTGAATAGTAGTAAGCTGGCGTCAACCCAAGCGGCAGCATAACTCAAGGTGGCCAGCCTGAGGATTGATGCCATCGTTATGGGTGCGATTGACCATTTGAAGGAAGCAGAAAAAAAGGGTCAGACTAAAGCCTCGCATCAAGTGTTAGGGGGGTGCGGACGAGCCGCTTTTAACCTGCAGTGGCAGAGCGTGGGTGAGATGTGAGTGGCCTGGTGTGCGGCGACTTAGTTGCCGGGACCGGCTAACGAACTGCCCAGTGAGGCTTCAGCTGAGGAGAGATCCCCACCTCTGCAGCCTTTGCAGACTCTTTGCAGATGGGTGATGAGACCCTGGGATTACTGGATGAGACCGTGGGGATGATTCGTGCGACGTCAGACTGGGGTCGGAGCTCCCGCCGTAAGAAGCAAGTAAGCCAGCCATATCACACATTACATACCATTCATGTGTATGACAGACATCCCATCTTGGATTTGCATACATATGAATTCATCTGGAATACACACCAACTTTGGCTGTGTGAAACAACACTTACAGTACCTCCTCCTTATCCCCAGCCTGATCATGGTTGAGAATTGGGATGGAAGGACCCTGCGCGCTATTGGAAACGCCGCATCCCGCAAGAGGCTTTTGCGTCGATCCAATCTTCCTCTAATAATAATAGATTGAAGGTACTTCGTACTTGGGTAAAGTCCCCATGTCTCGGTAGACCAGGCGGGCAATGCCTCTCTCCTCCCTGCAGCGGGCGGTCCGACAGGCACAGTCCACGACTGTATATACCTGTGGTACAAATGTAGGACTGAGAAGGAAATTTTTTTTTCCAGATTAGAAAATAGCTTAACGCAAGTCTTTTGGGCGACGCCATTCCAGAGTGAGACCTCCCATTCAGCCGGGGATAGCCAGAAACTGCGGCTAGTGCGAGCCGGGGTTCTCGTCACTTGTGCATACCGAATTGCATCTTTGCCACACTATGCTGGTGCAACCAGGCCGGCCCGGGCAATGGATGGTGGCAGGTTGCAATATATTCCAGGAAAAGAAATCATGCCAACCCCGCAAGTCGAAGGATTGAAATAGCGAGATCTGCCGAAGATCATGTCTTGGAGTTACCTCAGGCGTACCAGTCTGCCAGTGTAAGGTATGCACATACCCTTGCAACCCTTGCTTTCATTCGCACATGTGCAAGGCTTTGTGTTCTGCAATGAATTTGCATGGTAGGCAGGAGGTAGGCAATTGAGGATAGTCCGTGGAGTTGGGACCCGATCATGCAACCGTGTCAGCTTTGGTCACCCAGCTGCCAGCTGCCGCAACTGGTAATCTGCTGCGACATTAGCGGGGCGGTCTGATGGGGGATCCCCGCAACACGCGGCACGACAACCTGCCGTATTCATAGTACTGCCCTAGTAGCTGCCCTAGTAAATAAATAGCTATCCCTATCCCGCTAATGATCCTATCTCAGATGACGCGCTTGACCTAATGTCTAATACAGCTAGTTCGTTGCTAGGTACGAATAATTGTAATTTGATGCCTGGAAGAAGCTTAAAAAGTGCATAGGGCTCCACCGGATCGAGAGGCTCATCCATGATCCATGATTTACAAGACCAGCATTGTAAGACGTAAGTAGCCGCTCATCTCGACAACTGATTCGTGACGCTTTCATCATCATAGGAGATCCTGTTAGAGCAATGGTAAAGAAGAGCGCACAATGGTCTAAGCAATGTATCTTGCTCATTCCGATTCAAGACATAGGACGTACATAGGTAGAGGCGTGTACGTAGGAAGATAGTGTACGTTCTGTATCGTGGCTGCAGCTCCTAAAATAGAAATGAGTCTAGACTAGACACCGACAATACAAACTCCGTCACCAAGAGACATTTATACCTAATGTGGTGTTCGACTCGGAACTTACTAAATGCTTATATCCGGTACATATGACCAAAAAAAATCCCGATAATGCTGACCCTGCGGTCCGAGGTGCTGGGACATTATATGATATCCGCCATAAACGGCGCCCTGATAACATACTAGTGTTCTTTCGAAGGAGCGCGCTCAGCTTCGGGTTATTACTATATATGATCTCGCCCCGACCACCGGTGTTTAAACTTGCGATGCGCGCTTTGCTAGGTAGATTGACCTTCTACACGAAAATAGCAACAGATAGTGTTCAAACTAACAGGTTCCCGTTACCAACTGGGAGGATCCGAGTGGTAACTTTGGTAACTTCGGTGCATACGTGGACAGGTGATGGTTACCTAGCCTCACTCAGTTAGTTAGAGGCACAGAACTAAGGCTTCCGATTTGCTCAGTGTTGTTGATTGATCATCGTGAAAACTTAGGGCTTAGGTCCTAACTCCGTCGTGCGAAGTTAGCGATAAATCCAATACCAGGTTCGGAGAAAAAACTTCATGAGCTCTTCAGCTAAGAGGATGGGGAAGTCCTTCACATGGCCGCTAATAGAGATCGCACAAACAGTTCGAAGTCCCATGTAGACGCTAGTCAGAGTATGCCTTCTTACTAGGGCTGAAAATCAACTGATCACGAGCCTTCATTACTCAGAGCGTCTAGAATTCATCCCTCATCCTTTGTGAAAGCCATGTAGAACGGTGTACCTTACACGAAAAGTACCTCGAGCTGACCATCACCAGTAGCGTCAGCGTTAGGCCTGCTTGGATGAAGAACATTTGAAATACTGGTGGATCTAACCATCATCGTTTTTAGCTAGACTAATTGAGTGCTGATATGTAGTTCAGAGTTGGTGCAGCAGTCGAGATGAGTGGATAAATACTTGTCTCCATTGTCGTTCTCTGAAATGGCGAGTTAGTATATTTATAGCATCATTTTCAAAAACACTATTAATCCACCTGTTCGGTAAAGAGATTGTAGACGAGTATTTCTCAAAGCTCCATCGAAAGTCTCCAAGTCATATAAAAACAGAAAAGTGAAAGACTGGCGCTGATCTCGCTTCGTAAATAATCTATATGTTTACGTGACTGTCAGTAAATGGAGTTTGACTACCTGGGTGTGATATACTAGGGAATACATACCGATGAAACACATACCGGTGATAAAACATACCGATAATAAAACATACCGATGATAAAACATCTATTATTTACACGGCGTAGCTTCTCAGGCAAGAACCCATTGCTCCTCGGTGGTTGTGCCGCCAGGTCGTTGCGGGGGGTTTGTGAATCTCCTTCACTACATCCCATTGTTCTTGAGTCAGGCTGCCATCCTGTGCAAATACTGATGACTTGCATCGTAGGCCTCGCGCCAAATGACTCTGAAGTTGGCCTAGCCTGTGGCACACTTGTCCACATCGAGGATGTTGGTGCCGCAATTACGCTCTAGGAGACGCCTTAGCTTCGCATATGTAGGTATATTTTATTCTAGAATCATGCAAAGAAGTTCTTGAGTGACGGCAGACAAGGGGGAGCGCAGGGTTTGCGTCGTCCTGCATTACTCGCAACGATGTTCCTCGGCGGACATCTGTCTTCATCGAAGCTGTGGTATCCGCATGCAAATTTACGGCGAGGAGCTGGTGTTTCAGAAGGATGGCGGTCAAGACCATGGCCCCCATTTTCGTGCGACTTTCTCTACTTTGAATTGCGTGGATATTAACCCTTGTTCGAGTTATCTACTCCATACGATGAGACACCAAACTTATAGGTTCGAGCGTGGTGATGCGGTGGGAGTCGTGAAGGGAGTCGATTGTCCTATCTACAGACTTTGTGCTGGGGGATTTCGAAAGAGATCGACTATGTCTTCATCCTCGTCTTCAGAAGGTGTTACCTTCATGGTACAAGGGAGATGGGGGCATCCAATTTGTGCAGCCGTGTTTCTGTGTGGGATCAGTTTCAAGTGAATACTAACATTATGAGCTCGAGCATGCATGCCGTTGAATCAATAAAGTTTCAGTGAGAATCTAAATCTCCATTCCTTTCGCGAGCGGTACTATTTTGGCACAGCTGTTTGTGAGCTGTATCTCCTGAAATCTGGCCGAGTGCTCATCTGATAATTGGATGGAGTTGTGGCCTGGGGTTCAAGACATATCAAACAAGCTGCAAAATACGCCGCATCCAATGTTATTCAACTTTATTTGGTCATGAACCTTCATCTACAGCATGTACGTACCATCGACATGTATCTACGTATGTACCTGTAGGCACCTGACGTCCGGTAGCCATGGCCGAGTGGGATACCTGCCCGTATGTAACAGCTCAGTCAACATTCACAGATGAGCTGGAAGGAACACGACATCATGTTTGTACTGATCTATAGCAGCATGCCTTCCTGCATACCGCAAACAGCTATGTTCCTGCCTACCTTACCTGCCTGGACATGTATATCTTAATAGGAACACAACTTCCTAAGCCGTGGTAGAGAAATGGTTAACTCGTCGGCCTTCTACTTGCTCTCGAAAGAGAAATTGGAAGCCGAAGATTCTGGGTTCGAGTCCCAGTCACGGTTTTTCTTTTTTTCCTTTTTGTGCTTGTCCCTTGGAATGAATATATCTTACTATCTGTCCCTATTGTTCTCTTCTGTCTTGCTTCTATGACATAGTAGGAGTATTGAGTGGAACAACACTTGAAAAGCCTCCTCGGGTCTCGATCAAATCTTATCGCCATACGCGACCTTCACCTAAAGCCATTCGACAATCTTTGGCTGTCAATGACCAAATTGGAAAGGTAGACTTTATAGCCTATGTTGGCCTGAGCCTGTCTACAGTAGAAGCTGGCCACTTCCATTGCATCGTCCGCAAGCAAAGTCTCCTCCCATTTAAACCCATCCAGGAGAAGCACTGGTTGCGTAAGCCTGGCAGCCTTGCACGTTCAACACCGCCCCAGAACTGCGTCCGCGTTTCTCGAACTGCCATGTGGCTCTTCCTGTTCCAGCACACCTCCACCAATGCGGAGCTTTCTGAATCCTGAGTACTGTGATGCCGATGTCAGCGACGATTGTTTACACAAGAAGTATCAAATTGAAGACGATGTTCGGTACTTTCACCATTGCTATGTCTCCTTCTGTTTCGAGCTTGTTGCTCTCGTTTCTCTTGTCGATCACGAGTCTTGGCCATCTTTGCAGGTAATTCGGGTTACAAGTAACACTGTCTCCGATTTCTGGGTGTTGCTAACACGGCGTGCTGGAAAGCAATACAGTCAAACTTAGAGAGTTGTGAAGCGATGCAGATAAAAGACTGAAGACAGTCAATCGACAAATGTGAAATGCAAGAATAGAATCAGCATTATCGCAACTGTCGGGCAGATCAGTTATGGTTGAATTCGGGCGGAATCGGAATCCTCATGGGATGCACAACACTTCAAAAAGCAACTCATTGGATAATTTACGAAATCAAAGTCGCAACTACGACGTCCGCTGCATTCACGAGAGCCTATGAACGGCAAGCCAACCACACCATCTTGGTTAACACCGTACCTATAAGAAAGCTCCAAAGTTGCCCTTTTGACAGCCTGCATACAGGGCTTGCCTTACGCTTTTCCTCCTTTCCAGGTCGTGAGCCTAAACTCGTCGACGCAATGGGCAACCGAAATATGTACAATCACGCATTTTAATCGGAACTAAAGATAAGATACGTATCCGAATAGAGCCCTTCAAGGGTTAAATGCGAGAGGTCTAACATGTCAAGGCATATCTTGAGAAGACCTTGAAGCCTGTTTTAAGATCATGTATATCTCCGTGGGAAACCGACTTCTCTCATGCTGCAATAAGCAACCCCAGCCTTGAGGAACGAACAACATGCTAAAGCCTGCAGATATGCAGTAGGTGGGCATGGCTGAGCTCGTGGATTCCTGTGGATGCAATCTATTGAACATTATTCCACTGCTGTCGAGCCAGATCAATTCCAATGATCACTACCTACCACAATTATCACTGGAGAAAATAAAGGTATAAATCGACTATGAAATTACTGGGCCTTGTAAGTTTTTCCAAAGGGGATCTCCTTCTAGGTGCCTGATTATCCGGTTGCATAAGAGACCTAGATGATTGCCAAATTCGCGGTGAACATCGTGCTGGATATGCGGCAACCAGGCCTTGCTTCGTTATGAACTTTAGATTAGGGACCTACTTTACGCAGCTGCAACTTTACCAAATCGATACTGCGCCCAATTCAAACTCCCTTCAGGCAGAGTCCAAAGCCGTTCGCCAAGATCCAGACCCGCAGCGCCAGCGGCAACATGAATCGGAAGAATATGCTCCAGGGTTGGATGTGCCTTTCTAGCATCACCGCGTCTCATCAGAGTCGACATGCTCTCCTGTCGTTCCTCCGGCTTCGCGGCAGCGGCCTCTTCGAGTGCATCGTCGAAACTTGAGGCGTACCTGCACAGCATCAGCAAGGCATAATCGACATGACGATACAGGAAAAGGAAAAGGCTCCTACGGCATAGTCCTAACCTCACCGGCTGCTCTCAAGGCGCGGAAATCGTGAAGATTGTGAACGGTCATCCCCGCGCCGATGATCAGGATGCCTTCGTCTCGCAGACCTTCCAACGCTTGCCCCATGCGGTAGTGTTGGTCCGGGTCCTCGTTGCCGTACAGCGAGACTTGCACGATTGGTACATTCAGCGGGTTCTTCTTCGGGTCGAAAGCTACCCGGGCGCTACGTTAGCGACAAGATGCGCAACGAAACGACAAGACAACGCAAAGCTCACCAGCCATAAACCCAACCCAGACGCCATGGTCAAGGCCTCGCTTTACTCTCTCAACCTTAATACCGGCTCCCGCCAGTTTCTCAATGACCTTCTCGGCGACCTCGGGACTTCCCCTGTTCGGGTAGTCGTATTCGTAGTAGTGCGGCGGGAAGCCGTAGAAGTCATAGATCAACTCGGTCTTCTCGGCGACGTTGATCTGGACGCTGTTCCGGCCGGCTTGCCAGTGGGCGGAAAAGACGACCACGGCCTTGGGCTTGACCTTTGTCGTGATCTCCTGCCCGACCGCAGCTAGTCTGCCGTAGGCGGGGTGGCCCACGTTTTCCATGAAGTTGGGCCCGCCGATACCGAGGAAGTAGACGGGTGTCCGTGATGGACTGTTCGGAGGAGAGGAATCAGACATGATTCCTGTCGCCTGAGTTGATGGCGTCATCCAGATGCGGCTCAGGTACGACTGGGTGGTACGGTAGGCCAGCGGGATAGACAAGCTGGCGAGGATAATAGCAAAGTATATGTACCCTGAACGAATAACTGATCGTGTGGTTGGTAGTACCAGGGACATGATTCCCTATGCTCATCCATCTTTTCTTTAAAGCTCTAGAGTCCTAGATATATGCAGTTAGCCACGAATTAACACCATGACCTGGCTAAGCTGCCTGGGTGGCAGCTAGGTACATAGTTCATGAGGCTGAAGCCTGACCCTGTGCGCGGGACTCGGGCACCCAGGTAGTATGCTGCAGGGCCTTGAATATCGAACTCGCGCCATTCCAGACCACTTCCCTACTCATCCATACATTTTTCATTGAATTTGTCAGCGCCACGTCCGAATGATCGGCTGCATTGATAATGCTAACGTTGACCTAATCAGATTAGGATGACATCTAGACTTTGCAGGGCTTATCGCGCGCGGGACCCACTCCACTATCCCCTATTCGGCTTAGCCGATCCTCGCGCGCGGCTTGTGGGTCTCAAACTCGTAGTGAACCCGCTGGCTGAGGCACGACAGTGATGGAACCAAGGGTAGAGGATCACGTAACTGAGCTAGCTACTCGGATTGGGGTTGAAGACACAGTAGATCACATGGGTTGGTATGATGCCATCTATTACTTTCGTTCGGTCTCTAGTTTCGCGGTTCAGAATGGACGTAAACTACGAGTTTGATTACAAATGGTCGAGGACAGGTGAGGTAATAGACCGAGTGCTGCATTACGAATGAAATATAGACCCAGCTTTGTATATATAGGAGGTATCTTGCTTCCAAGATAACTTCACATTCCATTCCATATCAAAGCTCCTTCTTGACTCAAATCCTCAAATATATCTTCAGTTTTTACCACCTATTAAATTACAATGGCGACCAAGCTTGTTGTACTTATCCTCGGAGCCGGACCCAGAGTCGGTGCCTCCGTCGCCGCAAAATTCGCTAGCAAGGGCTATAAGGTCGCTATTGCGTCTAGGAAAGGGGATGGATCTGAGACTACCGAAGGGTATTTCTCCCTGAAGGCAGATTTCACCAAGCCCGACTCGATCCCGGCCCTGTTCGATGCGGTCAAGGCCGAGTTCCACGCCCCTCCCAGCGTAGTCGTCTACAACGCGGCGTCGCTCACGCCCCCTCCCGACAAGGATTCTGTTCTCTCGATTTCAGTGGAGAGTGTGCTGTCAGATTTGAATGTGAACACGGTCAGCCCCTACGCCGCAGCGCAGGAAGCCGTCAAGGGATGGGAGACGCTGCCGAAGGAGACCAAGAAGACTTTCATATACACCGGCAACGGCCTGAATCTCTCGGTCTTGCCCGTGCCACTGATGCAGAATCTGGGCATTGGCAAGTCGGCTTCGGCATATTGGGTCGGCCTCGCCGATGCGACGTATTCGTCTCGGGGATATCGGTGAGCATTCACAATAGCATGTTCGCGTACGCTGTGTCTGACCTTCCCTACCACTAGATTCTTTTACGCCGACGAGCGTTACGGAGACGGTAAGGTGAAAGGAGGTGCCATTGACGGCGACGCGCATGGCGAGTTCTACGAGCAGCTGGCGACGCATGGGGGAAACGTGCCGTGGGATGCCACCTTCGTAAAGGGCAAGGGCTTCGTGCAGTTCACCTGAAAGTTGCCAGGTGGAATGAAGCTGTAGTATTTGAGTCAGATAGCTATCCAAAACAATGACCCAGCCAAAGATAGATCAAGTACCTGAACCGCAGCAGAAGTAGCAGAAGTTTTTCTCGTGTCTCGTTTGACTGTACCTCTAAACAAGCAACACCAGATCACCATGGCTTCTAAAACAGGCGGCGAGGTCGCGGTTCGCAGTATCCCCCACGTCTCTATTCCGCCATACATTTTCTATGATCTCGAGAGCCTTGCGTGCCGTACCGAAGACGCCTGGCGGTTGCAACACCTCCACCATTCTACGGAAATGTGCTTCCTGTGCCGGCTCCGCGAGGCAGCCAGCAACGCAGAAGGGCCACACCATTGTTCGCAGCAACGCTGGGGCCGAAATTTGACGCGTCAGCAGCTCGACAATCCGATTAACGTGATATCGCACGTCCACACTGGCGGGCTGCCATCCGGACACGACGACGAATAGATAGAGGAGCGCCGCGTGAGCCCAGACACGGGTGACCAAGCCGGTCTGGCCAGCGGGTGTTCTCGACTGCTTGCTGTAATCTGCTGTAAAGACATCCAGTGGGCTCATACACTCTTCTGGAAGACTTGGCACGTTATTCTCGAGCCGCGTGAGGTGAGCTTCCAACGGGTGCTTGATAGCTGTGGCACGGTGGACAAGCTCCATGACATCCAGATTACC